GATAAATATTTAGAAGCTCCATATATGCCTCAGCTTATAGCAAATGCAAGAGAACAAATTACAAGAGTACTTAAAGCCGAAATGTGTAAAAAAGATCAAATAAAAACTGCATTAATTGCTCAATGTATATATTCTGGGCATGCTAGCAAAGGGAAGGACAAACTTAAAAGTCCATTAACTATAATTGCTTATCACAGAAGCCTCATGCGTATTATTCTTACAGAAGAAGATATTAATGAACATATAAATTTATCTATATCAGAAATAGATAATGCTATAGACTCATTTATGCAAGAAGGATCAGAAATGAATTTGGTAAGGATTGAAATGCTAACTATTGAAGCTTATACATATCAAAGAGCATTTGGTGGATCATATATCTCGACACCAAAGAAGCTTGCCAATACCAAATGTACAATCAATCCTGATAACTCAAAAATAATTAATCCAGTTACAGGTATGCCATCTAATAATTGTCTTCAAGGTGCATTAGCTTGTTATTTTGCTTATAAAGATGGACATACAGAACACTTTGAACGAATATATACAAAAAAAGATTATAAACAATACTTAGATATAGTCAATTTAGATGGAATCCCAATGCCTACTCCAATTTGCTCACGTATATTCAATAAGATAGAAGAGATGAATCCAGATATTTCTATTAATGTTTGGGAATAGAAAGAAGAAACAACTACTCCTATAAGTGAAGGACCAAGTTGTCTAGCATACTTAAATGAGGGTTTACGAATCTGGTTAATAAATTTTTTTTCATCTTGCTTATTATTTATAGCCATGAGCTTGACATCTTGATACTTACGAACATTCTCCATAGTTTTACCATATACAGCATTATTTTTGAGTTTGAAAAAGTCACTTAGAAATGTATTTCCAGCTTTTTTGGCCTCATTACGTTTTTTTGTATTAAAAGTTATATAGGGGGCAAGCCAATTATCCTGATCGAATGATAAGATCTCTGTAACTTCATCTACTATTATACCTAATTTTACATAGTATTGAAGCTCTTGGTAGTGAATAACATAATCTTCTCGTGGACCAAGATGGGGTACTAATTTTTCAGTAGCTGAGAAATGTCCACTATCCAAGTTATCTACAAGCTCTGTAGTATAGGGACACAACATATTTTTATTTACAGCCATGTTTTCTACAGCTGGAGGTAAATTACTCAAATAGTCGTGAGTTTTTAGAGGGAAGTGCGCCTTAATATTTAGAAAATATCCTCTTTTTGCATCTGCTTTAGTATTAAGAATCTTTTCAAGATATTTCTTTTGCTCATTTGGATTATCTTCAAGATATTTACGACTTACCTCCCATTTATAATTTCTAATAGGCAAATACTGACTCATAGCCCAGCTATAAAGATTTGTTGCATCTACATATGGAATCCATGTTGTTGGTTTAGATGGGTTAAATGCTTTACCCATCTTAGGATTGTTAGCTTTGAAATATCGTTTACATGCCATAGCTATACCTCCACGCTTAGCCTTTTCTATAAAATCATGCATAGCCATATCTGTAAAGAGCTCGATTTTAACTCCTGTCATCTTAAGCATAGCATCCCAAGAATATGCTGGAAGTGAAACATAATGGCTAGGATCGAGTCCATCATATTCCATAGACATTTTTCACAACTGTGTCCAGACATTAGCAAGACTAAGCACATCAGTTTTAAGATATATATCATGATATTCACCTAAAGTCTTGCAGTTAAATTCCTTTCATACTTTTTGGGCATGCTCATAATCTTTTTGGCTAATTTTACCATGAAGATATGTACTAAATTCATGAATTGGTGGAAGCTCAGTCTCTAAAAATCTATCCTGTGAATCTATATAATCATAGGGATAAACTCCTTTTCGATATACTAAATCTAATTGATCTTTTGTATAGCCTAGTTTTTTGAAGTGCTCAGATGTTATTGGATGATTATCACCCAAATTTTTTGTAAGACTAGCTAAGCTACTATTCATAAACTGCATGCTATCTATATATTTAAGCTGGCCTACCTTCATAGACTTGTATCGCTCAAATGTCTCAGCTACAACCTTGATTTGATGTGCATTAACTGATTTTCCAACAGATTCGCAAACCAAGTGAGAATCATATCCTCGGAAGTTATGAAAGATAACTGGAATTGGAGTTTTCCATGCTTCGATCTGAAGTTTGAGATTACATGTATTGTGAGCGGCTCCTCAGAACTTACCTGTAATATGACAGTGATCCCAAACCTTTATATCCATAGACTTTTCTTGATTAATATCTTTAGTTATCTTGTCAATTTGTTTTGTTAAGGTCTTATAATCTTCTGAATTCATTGTGGTATTTTTTAGCTTATTATTAAGCCATGATGCCTTATTTTCTAAGCATTTGACTTTATCTTTATCTATAATGAATTTTTCTTTGCATATCCAACAACTATCTGCTTCATTGAATTTCTTTTTGTCTTTGTCAGTCTCAATTCGATCATGTTTTATAGCTAAAACTCTATTAATTTGAACTAATTCCTTATCAATTCTTTTGACAAATTCCTGAGTAGCATTTTCTCCTCTATATAGGAATGGGCCCCATACCTTTCCAGTATCGATCCAGTGAACCAAGTAGCAAAAGCTATTGGCCTTTTGTTCAGCAAGCTTTCGCATTTGCCCTCCATATTTCTCATCACATTTCTTATTATCCACCTCAAAGTCAGCTATAATAACACATAGAGCATTAATCATTCGCCCATAGTTTTTAAACTTTTCAAAATCATTATCATCCTTGATAGGTAATTTAACTTTTTGGGTAGCCTCTCCTAAACTAAGACAGTGTTCAAAATGATTTGCAAAAGCTTTTTCTGATGGCCAGCTTAAACTACATTTTCTACAGGGATATCTTTTACCATGATGAGCGGTATCTCCATAAACTAGTCTATTTATATTTTTAATCCAAAGAAAGTGGTTTTTTTGCCCATACTTATTATTCTTAGATTTGGTAATATCTGTAAGAGCCATAAGGTCAATAATGTGTTGTCTTTTATAGTTTTTGCTAACTATTACCGCTTTGGGGGTTGCTGTTTCTTCTTTTTATTCTCAGACATTGATAGAGATATCAGGATTCATCTCTTCAATCTTATTAAATATACATGAGCAAATTAGTGTAGGCATTTCTAAATTGACTATATTTAAGTATTGCCTATAATCTTTTTTAGTAAATATTCGTTCAAGATGTTCTGTATGTCCATCTTTATTAGCAAAATAACAAGCTAATGCTCCTTGAAGGCAATTATCAGATGGTATACCTGTAACTGGATCGATTATTTTTGAATTATCAGGATTGATTGTACATTTGGTATTAGCAAGCTTTTTTAGAGTTGAGATATATGATCCACCAACAGCTCTTCGCAAAGTATAAGCTTCAATAGTTAATGTTTCAATTCTTACCAAATTCCATCCTGATCCTGATTTCATAAATGAGTCTATTTTCTCATCTATTTCTAATATAGATTTATCTATATGTTCATTGATATCTTCTTCTGTAAGAATAACACGCATAAGGCTTCTATGATGGGCAATCATATATGTTGAGGTTTTAGGTTTACCTTTTCCTTTGCTAACTTGCCCATGATATATATATTGAGCAATTAATGCAGTTTTTATTTGATCTTTTTTACACAATTCAGCTTTAAGAACTCTTGTAATTTGTTCTCTTGCATTTGCTATAAGCTGAGGCATATATGGGGCTTCTAAATATTTATT